GCTGACCATACGTACTGCACTGTGTGCGTCCTGTAGCTGGTTCTTCCTCAGTATCTGCGAGCTCTTCCTGTTTACATCAACAGCCTGAGGAAGAGTGAAGTGCTGCTGCCAGGCTTGAGGAGCTCCATCCATCAGCGCCTGCAGCAGCGCTGCCAGGTGCTGCGCATGGACACCTGCAGCACTGCCACACACTTCTACCCTCTGCTGCTGCCTCTGGTCAGTGCCATCAACACGTGGGGGTTTGTCTTACATGTCTTTATTCTGTTAAATAAGGGTGTTCTTGATCAGAGTGACACTAATATGTCAGGATAAAGTTGCGATGAAGTAACTTCAAAATAGTGTCAGATGCTCATTCTGATGAAGCAGAGAGAAATGGTTAGAATTTATGCTCACATGTCGTGATGAGATATTCTAAAAGCAAGAAGAATTTATTCTTATGGTTCAATAAGCGTCACGAGCTGTATTAAAAATTATTTATTTTTAATTGTATCATTACTGTGATTTTTAAATGTAAAATATATATTTAAATGCAGGGAGGTTTCAGCAGAAAAACTGGCCGCACAGTTTAGTTTCTCATTCATAAAACGAAAGGAGAAAGAGAAAGGATTGATTTCCTGTTACATGTAGCAAACTATTGTCTATTTTAAGAACAGAGTGCAGTCACAGCCCGGCAGCACAGGCCACGGTGCTGATGAGTCATTGACAAACTAGTATTTCTCCAGCCCTGCATTAGTGCTGAACTGTGACCTCTTTTTCCATTGAACAAGTCAGCATAGAGATTGCGCTTAAAATAGCAACGCTATGTATTTAGTAAGTGATTGCTCCCTTTAAATAGTCACCATTAGCTTAGCCTTTGCACCATTGGACAGTTCCACTTGTGCCATTTTGAGCTTTGAAGACTTTTACTAAATTCGGCTTTTCACTCCTCCGTCACCTGCAGCCTTTATCAACTGACGGCTCCAACCTTCCAAAACCAGAGGAGGCACTGCGCTGCTCTGCAGCTAGCCTGGAGCCCAGAGGTCTTTATTTGGTTCATACACCCCTCACGCTGCTGCTATGGGTGGGCACCCAAGTCCCAGCATGCACACTGGTTGAGCTCTTCAACACCAGCTGTTTTTCATCCCTGCCCTCTGGAGAGGTGAGGATTGAGGAAAGATATGGATGCATAGAAGAAATCATGTCAGATTTTAGTGGTATTTAAATTTTCTTTCTTTATGATGATAAATATATTTATTACTTTATTGTAAATAAAATGTGATCACTATAATAACTGATTTACAGAGCAGAGCTTTGTTATTTTGATGGAAAGGGTCACAGATAATGTAATTTCTCTGCGCATCTTATAATATGTCAATTTAGTCCTGCTTTCTGATGTGTAACTACGCTGGCTGTACTCATTGTAAAACAATGAGGTGCCTAGGGATTTCCCAATAACACATAGTCTATACTCTTACCCGCTAAAAATAAGACTCAGACCCAATAACAAACATGAATTCATCAACACGTGCTAGCATACCAGTTAGGACAACTACAAATCAGCACACATCTACGGTTTATTTGGCTCTTGAGTGTACACGCTACGTTTTAAAATGGGTTTCCTGGAACTGCTATGGCAAATCTCGCAGTCTAACGCTATTACTATAATCGGTACTGAATTAGGTGGTTATGCTGTATTGGTGAAACCCTGAAAACTTAAGACTACAACTGACTCGTCGGACACGAATTTATCTCCTTTGAAGTTAACAAGCAGCTGGTTTATCTTCAGACTGAGCATGACTCGAAATGGAAAGAATGTGTCAACAAAAAGACGAAGCTGATGCTAAAATGCTTGTATTTAGTCAACCCGTGTTACTTTCTGTATGCAACACAGGCCGGATGATTTCGAGAGCTAAAGATATGTCTTTAAGTTTTCCTCTATTACACCTGAGGGTCGCTCTAGATTCTAGAAGAAAGACCACGATGTACTGCAAGAGATTTGAAAGGAGCGTGACGTGTTCGTCAAACCATAGCGGCACGATGCTAACGCTGCAGTCGTCGTGCATAAACAGGCAAACATGAACTAAAGGGACTGAAGCTGGCTGCTTATTTGAGTGAAATTAAATTATCAAGAGAGGTTGCTGCAGAGGCAATGCTTTTTCAGTTTTACATCTTCACTTTTATTTCTTTCTGACCGCTGAACCCTCGCTCTGCTGCCCCCCTGGACACTAAAATTACCGTCAACATTTCAGCTAGTTTTATAGTCGGGCAATATTTCTCCCATGGAGGTGATCACAAGTCAGAAACCTCTGAGCATGCAGCTTTCTAATCCTGCAACCACCTCACAGAGAGTGAAGAATGGGGTATCTGTTATAAGAGCGCAGAGAAGATGAATAGAGATGCACACCGTGTGGTCACTTACTGGTGGAGCAGCACATAAAGCAGAGATTTTTTAGCCCATTGTGACCATGGAGGCCATTAAAGCAAAGCAGCCATCGTGTTAAAAAATAAACTAAATGCACTTAAACTGGAAGCTCATCTGATCATCAGAGATTACTCCAGAAACAAATGCCATTCAGTGTAACATGAATGCTTGTCTAACCAGAGCTCACAGCATAATCATCTGGGTTGGGATGCACGCTCAATAATCCGAGTAAAACCCAGGAAAGTTGATTCTGTTTATCTGCAGCGCTTTCACTCATCCGAGTGACTTCTTCAGTCTCAGCTGACTGCAGGTTTCACAGCCTTTTAAACAGTACAGCTGCATAACAACCGAGACTATCACCACTGACTAACAATGAGCCATGAGCTCAGTCTCTTTAAACGTATACTTTCCCGTCAATTCAGAGTTATCGAATCACATGACAGAGAAAACAAGTCGAAAAACTCCACAAAAGGGCCCAGCTGTAACTTTAAATGTATGATTTAGTGTCTTTTCTGATAATTGAACTTGTCTGGACTCCACCAAAGAACCACCTAAGTTTCCTGATCCTGCGAGCTCGTTTCTTCTGGAGGAAATCCTGAAGCATGAGCGTCGTCCTCACCAGGGTGCAGCTGCTTCACTCTATAAAACTTAGTGGCCACAGATGCACTCCAGGACCTTGAGGGAGGATTCAGCAGCGTCATGTTGGATGTTAGGAGTAAGATAGACCACTGATGCTGCGAGCACTGTTTCTGACAGTCCTGCTTGTTTATTTAAAGGTGCACTAGCTCACCATCAGTGTTAGTGAGCCTGTAGGTCATATTTCAACATTCAGCCAGTTTGCATGACTGAATTAACAAACAGTAAGGCCATCATTCTGTAATCATTTTAATATGTGTGTGTGGGGGGGAGGGAGTTTAACTGTCCTACTCTGTTGAGTCAGTATATGTTAGTCAAAAGTGGCCAGAGTAAAAAAAACACACAAAAGCCCATCAAACTGTTAAATCTCAGCTCTTTTAGTAAAAAAAAAAAAGAAGGTAAAAAAAAAAGATGTTAAGTACATAAAGTGATGATTGCTTTTGTTTGTAACAAAGTGCTATAAAAACACACCTATGAAAATGTCATCCACAAAGCAGTTTATGTGGAATGAGAAGTTCTTTTAAAAAAAATCTTTTTCAGGTGTCTCTTTTTAATTTTTGTTCCGTTTTTTCCTCCAGACCAAGCTGCCAGTTCTGGAAAACCATCTGTCCATCGGTATCCGATCCCTGATCAACACACTGAACTCAGGGGCATCGTGCACCCGCAAGGTGAGCGGCTGTGTCAACTGCAGCTGAAGGCTGAGTTTATTTGTTTAGACAGCATCACCCCAGTATGATGACCTTATGTTACACATCTGCTGTCATCTCAGCGAGTTCAGTCCACATCTGTTCCCAGCTCTCATTTGAGCTATAAACCTGCACGCTGAGATACACTGCTTCTTTCAGGAATGGTGATACTGTTTTGTACAGAATCAGTCAGTAGGCAACAGTTTTGTAGGGGCTTATTTATTATCTGGAACATAAACTCCTCTGGAGAAGGTGAGTTATGCATCAGCTGCAAGCTGAAATCTTGCAAGAGAGTTTCCCATCAGAGCCCGATGCCTTCTTCACAGCAGCACCCTGTGATTTCAGGTCATAGATAGAGACAGGGTTAGCTGCAGAAACTCGTGTTTTGAGTCTTGGTGTGTATATGTAATGCAGCTGTGTACAGATTAGCACGACTTAAGACCGGAGACGCTTTCGAAAGCGTAACCTCCTGCGTATCGTTCTTTTTCAGCTGTGGGTGGTAAAGCAGGGCGACAGTTGCGAGGAGGCCCTGCAGCGCCACCTTGTGGAAGACAAGAGCCCCAATGGAGGCGCGTCCTACGCAGACTTCCTCTACCATCTCCACGTCAACTCTGTCCGCCTGCTGCAGTGAAACACAAACATATTTACAGATGTGGATACAACGTCTTTAACACAAGACGAAACCACAGAGTATCCACCTCAAACAACAACCACAGGAGGAACAAAGCTCTCATACAGTAATGTAATCGAGTAATGAGGAAAGTCTATAGTCAGATATATAAGGAATGCATGGAGACATTTCAAATGATGCAATATTTGATCTGTTCAAGGACTGCTGTGATATTATTTATGTTTGTGTGACTTCTTTTGTTTTGAATGGACTGTTCATTTATTCCTCTATCATGGAAAGTCTCTAATCTTTGCCTGAGATTTTTGTGTACGTGTGTCTCAGTGTGTGTGCGATGCCCAGAATGTGTTTCTGTGTGAGAAATATGTCCAATAAATAAATGAACTCAGTCAAGAAGGGAAGTTTCAGGTGTCATCTTGCAGCAGCAGATTCATTTGTGGCCAAAGGGGCAACTGTCTAATGAGTCCACGTGGCTGATAACATTAATTCACAGCAATTATGTTGCTACAAGCAACACTCAAGCATGTTGCTGAAGCATGGGCGAGGGGCTGCGGGGGGCACGTGTAGTTTGACACACTCTGTGAGGTTGTAGTTGAGCCCTGGGTGCTTTGAGCTAAATGCCAACAATTGCTCATTGGCTCTCAACAGAAAATATGTAAAAAAAAATGTTTCAGGTTTCTTTCATAAAGTGCATTGGACCAACAAACCATGGTGGTGCCACTGCAAAGAATACGAGAACAACAGAGTTTTCTCAAAAAACAGCGAATATAAACCTTGTGATTTGGGTGAAACTACACAGTGTCATAGAATTACTGAAGGTATTGTCTTCGTATATTTTGGGAACTGTAAATTTACCTCGTCCACGAGTCATTCTTTGAAATATCTGAGATTAGATTTATTTCAGACCAACCCCTGTTGTAATCTCTTCTTGTGAGGAAAGGTTTTATTGACAGAAGTGCTTAAGTAGAAAGAGGTGCTTATTTTTAAATAACCTATGAAGATTTGATCTCATAACGACAGAGTTTAAAAGGTCGGTGCTGTAATATTATTTGTCCTGCAGCGAATGGTTTCTTTCAGAGGTAATCTGATTACCAGCAGCCATCTGGGCCTGCATCAAACTCTGTCTCATTCTTAGTCCTCGTGTCTCTGATCTCACAGCTTTTATTTTTAGATCTTGTTACCTTCTTATCCTCCCAGATTCTCACGATTAATCACAGTTATTTTTTTGTGTGCATTTCTCTGAAGAGTATTTGTTTCTGTTCTAGCCCATTTCAGGCTTTGCCGGCCAATTTCACAATGTCCTCTGTCCAGGTCTTGAGTCCAGCTCATTAAGAAAAGACGCAGATAGAACATTCAACATTCATTATTAGTCAGCGTGTCCTTCCAAGAAATCTGCTAACTGCTGAGTTGATGTCTGTAGTTCTTATTGGCAGTGTGTAGGCTTTTCACGCATTTTGGGTAGAGCTCAGATCAGTGAAACCATTTTCACTAAAGAGGATGTGGACCTCAGGAATAGAGGTTAAACTGCAACCAGTCATTGTCCAACACTATCTGAAAGGAAACTTGACTTCTTGGGAGAGTCCAGACGGTGATGAGGGACAAAAGCTGTGGATAATCTGAATCCTCACAAATAAGTAAAATAAACAAAATTTAAAATAAGAACAAGGTGGTAAAGAAGGTATTCAGATCCTTTACCTAAGTTAAAGTGCCAAAACTGCGCTTTAGAAATAAGCTATGAAATATATACTGAGGTAGAACACTTTAGTAAAAGTACTTTTACATACGCTTAACATTAAAGTAACCAGTACTAAATACAGTTTTGCACTTTTTCATACTTAATGAGAGTTTTTTATTGTATTTCCTGCACAGCTGTGTCCATTACTTGACACATATTTGTTGTTTTGAGGAAGTCACGAAGATGCTGATGTAACTCTTCCTCAAACTTGAAGAGAAAACTTATATTTACTGCACACATAGCGGCACGTTTTGACAGCAGAAACAAGCTCTCTCATATTTGCCCCTATTTGGAAATACGCACCAAGCTGGCGGGAGGTGTGTTCGATTACGTTGTCGCGCTTGCCGTTGGACTGTTTGTCCACCAGAGAGCGACAAAGAGTCGAAACTCCGCTGCCGCTCAGGAAGCCGCGAACCAACTCAAGTTGACTGCGTCAATTTAGCCGAGCTGATCAGCACCAGACCGGAAATTCATTATTGCT